TTTTTTTTCTATAGGGAAACGTCCAATGTTACTGGCCTACAAAAAATGATTAAAACATTAGTCATTATCTACAATTGTGATATTTAATAATATACATGCCTTATAAATCCAAAAATAGTTGTACTATTAAAAAAAAAGAAGTTGCTTCTTGAAAAAATTAAAGACGGAAAGAAAATATGGGTAATGGACTACCTAAGTATGAGTCCAATGGACGGGAATTTTAAAAACCTTTCCAAACATTTCTAATTTGTGTGTATTTGCCCCATAAGAAGTTGGAACTATTGGTTTTTTTAATTAAGAAGAATAAATAAGGACTTTTGGTTATGAACATTCACTAAAAAAAGTATTTAAATTAATGGTTTATTCTTTTATAAGTGCTAGTGATTGTATCCCCTAAAAGACTAAATATATTCGTTTTCTCCTAGTTTAAATAGTTAATAGTAGTTTTGTTGTCATTACTGAAAAATTCAGTAATAGTGGACATCTGCAACACATGTTTACTAGCCATTATAGGCTCAGATCTAAAAAATAAAGTCAAAAACTATTACATTCAAAAAACATTTTTTTAAACACTCATTATAGCAATTTGATAAAAAGGTTTCCACATAATGTTATATTACAACTTAAATTACGAGAAAACGAATATCTTTAGTCTATTACAGGATAAAATCAATAGCAACGAAAAAAGAATAAAACCTTAATTGGAATATTTTTAAACTTCGTAAATAAATTTAATGATTTATTGATTTATTTTGAAATAACCCTGATAAAAACAATAACATAAACAAAATATATGATAAAAACAAAAAATATTAACAATCGGTCAGAATGAATTTTCATACCCGTCGTTATTTATTCTTCAAACAATTAAAAAAACCAATATTTCCAACTTCTTATGGAACAAATACATACAAATTAGAAATGTTTGGAAAGGTTTTTAAAATCTCCTCCCATTGTGACGTCAGAAGTCATTGTGTTTTTACTTTCATGGGGTCGTTTTTTAAAGTATATGTAACTAAAACAAATTAATGCATAATTCGTAATTTTTCCATGAAAAACCCCTATTGGTTTTAACTACATCCGTACGGCAATGGTTTATGACCGATATTTGAAAATTTGCATTTGTAATGGGATGCCAGTTGCAAACAAATAGGGTATAAAATAAACACAAGGAATAGCCACAAACCCAAAAATAAACCACAAACCATTTACAGAGCGTTTATTGAATTTCAAGTCAAATAAAACAATATCTTTTTCTTTCATCAATTTTCAATTTTGACAAACTCTCGTTAAATTGAATTGATTTCTGGTTAATGAAAGAGGGAACATAATAAATGGCCAAGATGAAGAGATGGTATAAAACACTAGCTAAAATAACACAGTATTTGTTGCTGTTTTTCAATCGTTAATTTAATTTTTACATGCCTCAATATTATTGGAAATGGTCTTCAAATTTTTTATAAGGATTTTTGTACTTACCGATCCTAATCTTTTTTCTTGAACCGTAATTTTTCTCCTACAAAATAAAAAGACCATATCAAGCTCCCAAAATATATTTACTATTTCAATTAATATTTATCCCAAACAATTGTGACGTGGAAATTATTTTCCCAACATGTTCATAAAATTTTTAAATTATAGAGAAGACCTCTACTCATACAAGTATATTTCAACAAAATATCTGTGTTATTGTAGCAAAGTGTTTCCAAAATAATGGTAGTGTTTATACGATCGGCTTGGACAAAAGCAATTAGCACTTTTTATTTTTATTTTATTTTATATAATTTGACTTTGGGTCAATGTAATATAGTGTATAGATCCCTTAAATGCAAAAATCTAATTAATAATAATTGCCCTCATATGTTTATAATACATTTTTCCTTGTGGACAATGTAGAGATGCTTATGCGAGTTTTCAAGCAATTATATCAAAGTTATATAGCTATAAAGTAGAATTAGAACTATAGATAAATGTTAGATAGTTAGATGGTTAAATGAGTTAATTCACTTTATTTACAATTGCTAAGTTGTAAGTTAAAGTAATAACACCATATAAGAAAAACGAAGTACTTCGTTATAGTTCATTCCGTGGTCTGCAATTGTTTGTTCCGACGCTTCATCTACAACGTAGGCAGATATTATCAAATTATGAAATATGTGATAGGGCACATAACCTTCTGTCGATCACTGGTAATCTTTCTTGGGCATCTGGTTGGTTGGAATTTGTATTGGACTTTTTGGTACATCTGTGGAAAAGTTTTCGTTTTGCATCGTTTGTATCACATTGTATTTAAATGCAGACACTCCTCTTTTCGATTAAAGTTGATTATTTTAGAATATCAATAGCGTCTCTTAACATACGTTTCGACCTACTAAGAACCACAAAGATTTTTTCATCTTTATTATGACTGATTTGCCCTCCTCTGTTAGTGTGTTTTCATTGTACTGGAATGTTCTTAAGAGGAATTAAGTTCTTGGTAGATTACACCTTATCTCTGAGATCTTGACGATCTTGGAGGATCTTGACAATCTTGGAGGTCACCAGGTGGAATTTCCGTTTGTTACAAATCTTTTTTAACATGCCTTGCCCATTTTGAATAAGATGATGATCTTAATCCTCTGAGAATACTCGTCTGCTCTAAGATTCGTCGCTATTTTGTTCGGTTTTTGTCGTAATGCTGCCATCTTATGATTTTTATTATCCCTAAGTCGGTCTTAACTCCATCTAATTCTATAATTCGCGATCGGCCTCTGCTTCTTCTTCCTATAGGTGTTTCTGTTGTTAGCTTTTTAGCAATCGTATTGTCTGGTATTCGTATCATGTGTCCAGCCCATCAGTTGCTGTCTTTTAATGAACGTTACGACGTCTGCTTCATTAAAGATTGGGTATAATTCGAATTTATATCTTTTGCGCCTCTGCGCTTGGTCGTTTATAGCTTCAAATATTTTGCACAGTAATTTACGCTCGAGTATTCCCAAAAGTCTTTGATCCTTCTGCGTTATAGTCCATGTTTCCGCTTCATATGCGAGGACCAGCCGCAGCAGTGTTTTGTATATAATAATTTTAGTTCTTGTTTTGTTGGCAGCGGTCACTAGTGAGCCAAGGTATGTGAAGCTGTCAACACGTTTAAAGATATGACTTTTGTTGATGACTAGACCTACCTGTTTTGCCGTCGCTTCCAATTATAGGAAATATTGCTCATCTCACTTGCTACAGCTTATTATGTCAATGTCATCAGTGTATGCTAAGATTTGTATGGATCTATTGTAAATAGTACCTCCGTCTCTAATTCGTGTGTCTCGAACTGCCTTTTCCAAAACAATGTTAAATAGGAGACAAGCTAGGGCATCCCCTTGTCTGAATCCATCCTTTATCTGAAAGGATCGAGAATTCTCACCCTGTATCCTAACACTGGCTTTTAAGTTAGACATTGTTATTTTCGTTAATCGGCTATTCTGGTATACCCAACTCACGCATTGATTGGCATAGTACTATTCTCTGACACTGTGGTACGTTGCCCTGAAGTCGACGAATAGGTGATGGTTTTTAATATTAAATTGTAATGTTTTCTCGAGGAGCGGTTTTATTGAATGAATTGAGAAGGGTTATACCTCTGTAGTTGTCACACCGGACCTGATGGCATATCACGCCTTGAGACGATTCACATTGTGTCAGACAAGAAGTAAAAGTTTTTGCAGTGTCTGTGGCAGGACTTCGCCACCATTCTTGTAGAGCTCACTGCAAAATTGATCAGTTCCTGATGATTTATTATTTTTAAGCTTTTTAATAGCTTGGGCAACCTCTTAAATAGTAGGTGGTCTTTCGGTTGGGTTGAATATATTCGAATCATTTTGATCTGCTAGTGTGTTATCTGTTTCTTCGTTATAATGGCCATTCAATTATGCGTCGAAAAATTCAAACCATGTGTTCAGGTTGAGGCTGTATCACTTAGGATATTTTCTCCTCCATCCTTACAGCTCCCTGTTGTTGGTCTAAACTCTTTGCTCATTTTGTTTAAATTTCTGTATAACTATCAAGTTTCGTTTTGATTTCTTGGCCTTCTATACTTTCTAACTGGTTTTCCTCAAATTGCCTTTTTTTCTTCGATCTAATCTTAGGGGTCTAAATTTTCTTCGCTTATGGTCCGGTATTTCTCCTTTATTCTTCTTGTGCATCTTACTTAATTTGTCTTTAGAGGTGCTCTATTTTTGTTATTTGTTGCTTCTTGGCACTCCTTGTCAAACTAATCGTTTTGTTTTAACTCGTTTTGTTTAATTTAAAATGGGCTCGGCTCTATTTAACAACAGCCTAGATAAGATTTTGTAGGTTACTGGAAGCAAAGAGATTTATAAAGAAATTCTCAAAGAAAGTGAAAATCATTAATTAAAGAAAAAACACAGAAAATAAACAATGAGGACTTTAAATTCGCCAACAAACGCCAACATAATATTAAAATCATACACTGTAAAAGGTGAGTTTCGAATTTAGTGAATAAGTAAGCGAATTTATAATAAATGTGAAGAAAAAACAGGAAAAAAATTTGGTGTTAAAAAATAGCTTGGGAGCTTCAAGATTTAGTGAATAGCATAAATGGAGTGAGTGAGGAATTTGGACTTAACATCAACGTATCAAAAAAGAAATATATGGTAATCAACAGACAACCCCATAAGGAAGTTCAGATGAAAATATTAATAATAGAGCTATTGAAACAGTTTATATCTTCGAGGTATTAACTATAATCTACTAAGTTTAACTATAAATATTAACGAAAAAATATTTTTGTATATAAGAAACAATGACAGAGCTGGAATTAAAAAAATTTAATATATTGAAAAGACCAGCATTTATTATTATTATTATTTATTATTATTATATTGCCATGGTAAATATAGCATGGGTAGGAAGTGGTAATGGTAAAATAGCGATTAAAAAATTTAAGAATATTAGATATACCTACCCAAGTATCAAGATACAGAAAGTGCTGAAGCTTTTCTACTTACTTCCAAATCTTCATCTTTTAAACAACTTAAATTGAGCTCATCGTCGTTTTCAGGACTAGTGATAATGTTGTTGATTAAATTGTAATTTCTCGTGACAGAATCGTATTCTGGTTTTCTCGAAGCTAATACTTCCACTTTGTTCCATAATTCTTGACGCTGATGTTCTCTTTCCTTTTCTCTGAAAATTTAAAACAATGTTTTAAAAATACCTGTTTATCAATAGAAAGACGACTTTTAAAGAATTTTGGAAAACTTATTGAAAGAACTTCACTACCCAATAAATCATATATCATTCAAAGAATTTAAATAGGCGAGGCAATAAAGCACTAAAATGATCAATTTTCCGTTTTAAGAGAAATCGCTTTTTGCATTTGATTTAGGAGAGTGTCAGGAAAGTTTGTTAACAAAATGTATGGCCGGAAAATTAAAACTGCATTTTGCGTATAAGGATAATACATGTCCAAATTTGGAAAATATCGACGGGAATAAGTTTCATTTTGGTACTCGGCAGTTTTTGAGGTTGTTGATCACAATATCATGACAGCGATGAACTACGAGGTACCTGGTGCTTACCAGTCAAATATCAATAATTGGGGGTTTATGAGGTCGCTGAACACGAATATTATGACGGCAAAGGTCCCCGAAGTACCTGGTATCCTGGGTTGACCTAATCTTCTGGAGTTTTATGTTGATTCCAATCAAAATTTATTACTGGGGGGTTTTTGAGATCACTCAAAACGAATATCATAATGGTGATGGTCTCTGAGGTAATTAGTGACCAGGATGGAATTAATACACGAATATCATGACACTGACGGTCTCCTACCTTTACAGTGGTATCTATATTTTTATTTTAAATTGTTTATTTAAAATACAACATGTGTATTCTGGGAACATAAATACAAAAAAAATATTATTTAATTTATAAAAAAAGATGATAAACACACAATCTTTTATTTAATCATTTAAATTTTCTTCTTTCATCTCTTCTGTTAGGTGATTCATGTCGTTCTACATAATTTTCAACATTCGTGCAATTTAATCCAGAACAATATTTGCACGCCAAAATTGCAGACTAAGCCATTCTTTTAAACCAGCATCCACATGAACTACTGCAATCTTTTCTATAACTACAAAAAATCCAATGCATTACGCTTAGAGAAACATGAGGCTGTGTCATCTTTACTGGAATATAAGATTTTTTTGAGTTCCCTTTCTCATTCAGTTATATTTGAAAAACCTCCCTACAACCAATTCTGCACTTGCAAAGATGCTCTTTTCAGATGCTATTTGAATGCATCTACTGTTGGTAGAATTTTATCATTTGTTACTTTTTTATTTTTGTTTTTAAAATAAATTTTTTGACAGGGTAAAATACATAGATTAAACTATTTAAATTTTTTTTTCAAAATGGCGGCTCTCAAAATGGCTGCCCAAACTCGTTTAATTTGTTGGTGGGTGTCATCATTTCTTGAAAATGAGTCATCCGAAAGTAAAAAAGCAAAATGGTTTCATATTCTGCATCCAATTGGCTATGGTCGGTACTACATTGAAACATTTTCAGCACAAAAAAATTTTTTACTATTGTTTTTGTTCTACGACGTATTTCTTCGTTTGGGATTCGGTCTCTCAAAGAGACACCAAACATCTGGTGCTCCATAGCTATCTGAGTCCCGCGAATCTTATTAACTACCTTTTTTGTGAGTGGTAATGTTTCCGGTCCATAAGTGAGTACAGGTAACACACATTGGTCAAAGTAGACTAAGCAATAGTGTTTCGAAATGCGAGTGATACTCACTTGAAAAAAAGTGGTTTCGAGAAAAGTTTATTAAAGTAAACAACTTCGTTTGAATGGCCGGATTAACCGTTTAGAGCGCTCCGCTCTCCCACTTTCCAACCAACTTCAAGGTCGCGCGGCCCTTCGGGACTAAATATATAGTATTTCTAAAAGTATTTTTGAGGTATTTTTGAAAAAAAAAAATCGATTTTTTAAAAAGTTGTTTAGAGAAACCATGGTCTTAAATTTATTAGGTATATTTGGTTTCTTAAAATTAAGCCAAGCACCATACATGGCTGAAGTAATTGAGCGCCATGTTCAACTATATTTTTACCAGTCAAACCAACTTTTGAGAGATATAATAAGTGTAAAAGCATACGTGAAAGTAAAAGGCTACAGCTGCTGAAGGATACATTATAACATGTATAGTTTAGTAACCTGGCATTTTATCAATGTTACCAACTGTATTAAAAGTGCCAAATTTTAAAAATGTTTTGGGTAATTTTTGAAGATATTCTATGTGGTTATGATAACGGTTATCAACGAAATATTTGTGTTCAGCGATTTCAAAAACCCTACAGTGATCCTTTCGAATAAATTTGAACGAAATTAATATAAAACTCGAGAAGACGAGGTTCACCCTGTAACTAGATAGCCTTGAGTCATTGATACAATTACAATAAATATTATATAAATATTGCATTAAAATTTTAAGAGGATTAAGTATGGGATTAACTTTACTTTTGCTCTAAAGAGATTCCTGATTATTTTCTCAATTATAAATGAATTTTATCTTTAATGTTTTTCGATCTTCGAAAATCTTGTTTTAAATTTTTGGGATAATACCTAAGTATGTACTTAATACTATGTGACTACAGCTAGTTTACTCTCAACATTAATACATACACTGTGTGTCAGTCAAATGGAATAAATTAGCTAATAAATAAATGAGGAAGTATTGATATCAACTTCCCCACGAACATCTTGGCAACACCCTAACCGTGAACAGAAATTTCTTCTAACGTTACTCAACATCTCAGACGTGATCGATCTAATCGCAAGCGTTATTCTTCTTCGTAAGTCAGCTAAGTCAGTGGATTCATTTTTGCATACAACACTTTTCACATATACCCATAAGAAAAAGTCTAATGACGTCACATCGGGAGAACGTGGTGGCCATTCCATCGATTCTCGCCTCCCTATCCACCGATTTGAAAATATTTGGTTGAGGTACTACCACCGGACACGGATTTGGTAGTGGGGTGGTGCTCCATCTTGTTGAAACCATATCATATTCGCTGGAACTTGTGGGTTTCCTGGATCAGGATACAAGTGGGCCAACGTTGGCACTTCATTATTTTGGAGCAATGCTAAACAATTGTCGCCATATATGAAAAAGGGACCTATCTGATCTTCAATAATTCCTGCCCACACGTTAACCTTCTCAGGGTATTGAGTATTGCCTTCTCTCAGCCAGTGAGGATTTTCTCTGAACCAATAGCGGCAATTTTGTCGATTAGCATGACCGTGAAGAGTAAACGTGCACTCATCAGAAAACAAAACATGTCCTAATTGGATCACATTGCTGTCTAACATTGCCATCATTTGTTGGCATAAAAATACGTTCTCCTATCAAAATCATCTTCCATGAGCCAAGTGTGTATAATTATTATTATAGGGATGCATTTTGTTTTCTTGTAATATTCGAATAGCCTATTAATATCTAATATCGAGTACTGGGGCTGCTTTTCGAACATATGTATGTGGGTGTTCCTCAAACTCAAGCATAACAGCCAATTTGGTATTCTCACTTATTGCATTGGCAGCTTCTTTTTTTACCTTCCTAACATGACCCAGCTCGTGGAATTGCTTTACTATTTTACTAATTGTCGTGAAAAAAATAAGCTACTTCCATTTGCGTCCGTGTTTTATCTCCATAGCCAATCATCTGTATAATTGTAATGTTGTGCATTTCTGTTAAATGAACCATTTTTCTGGCTTGCGGTCAATGAAATTCAAACGACTATAACACTGACAACTACTTCTGTCATGGAACAATAAAACATTGGCGTTTTAAACCAAAGTAAACAATTTTTTGTTTTTTTTTTTAACATATCAATAAAAAGGGATGCTTAAATTTTTTGCTTACTTTATCATTACCAAAACCTAAATGGACAAGAAGAGTTTGGACAAATAAATAATTTTCTTTTCTAAGGGCCGGTTCTACATTCCAGGTATAAATTGGAGAATAGTTATTCTGAGTATAACTTATACTTGACTTTATTCCAAGTATAACCTTTCGAGCGTTCTACATTGTGAAATCGACAGCGGAATAGTTATTCTGGGTATAACCACAGAACACTAAGGTAAAACGAAATAGTAGATCTGATATCTTCAAAATTAGTTCAAATTGTTATTGACAGCGACATTTGGCATTTGTCATAACTGTAAAATTTGTTTACAATTGAAAGGAATTGAATAATTGATTCGCTTTATCTGGTATTTTATCTACGTTTATATTATTATACTGTACAAAATTAATATAAAATGGATAAAAAAAGATGTTAAATTTCTTCTTAAATTTTTTATTATCATCAACTGAGATTAGTGTTATAATATAATAACCAAAATTATGTAAATATATCTATATAGGTACTCCACATTTTAAACAAGTATAAATATTGGATTACAAAATATATAATTTTAGTTAAAGAAATGTTTATATAATACAGATTCTAGAATTACAGTCTCTGTTATCAAAACATTAAAAAATATGTTGCCTTGGTAAGATTATACCTATACTATATTAGTCATATGTGTAGACGTTATTACATTACATACTTATCCTAAAATTTTAGAATTGAAATAATAAATGCTTTCTTTTTCCTTTGGATTGCCTAATAAAATTTACTTTGGATTTACAATCTAAAATGTTTGTGCAATATCAAAAATTTTATTTTATATATAAAAACAAACAAAGTGAGGTTAAAATATTACAGATTTGACAACCCCTGACCGACCAATAGAAATGCAGTATAAATTTATACTCGGTATATCTGCTAAACTTTGGAGGGATAAAGTTATTCTACAGATATACTCCGATTATTTTATTCCTAGTTTATTCTTTGTTTGTAGAACACCATTAGTTATTCCAAGTATAACTTTATTCTCAGTATATACTAGCATTGTAGAACCGGCCCTAAATGTGAATTTTTGCATTTTACCTAATATTTCCGAAACAGTCAAAGATAGGCATAGGACATTCTATTCAAAAAATGTCTAAAATAATCTGAAGAATCTACAAATTAATTAATATATAGGGTGTTTTATTTAAAATAAGCAAGTTGGCATTGGTCACCGTTATCTGATACACCCCGTACAAAAGTTTTTATGGAAAAAATGTAGAACTATAAATACTAATCGTGGTATTCGACCGTTTTTTATTCCATTTGGCCGACACACAGTGTATGTAAACAAACTTAACCAGAAATTATAAGACAACTTATCATTTAAACTAAAAAAAATCCTTTTTTTTTCGATAATATACATCTAAAAGCAATGATTTTTGGATAAACAAAAAATATCTATTATATTTTCAGGAAGACACAAACGGACATTAAAATGTGATAATTCAGGACATGAAATTTAGTAGATTTATAATCTACCAATTTTTCTAATAAGTTTAAGTTATTAATCTAAAAATAAACTTACTTTTGTCTTTCTTGTCGATACTGTTGGGTACAATCGTCGAAAAGTTTCTGATCCATTTCCATAAATAACTTTAACGCGTTATAGATTAATCCATGAATTGTTTTATTCCAATGACTTTTAGAGTTTCTATATAAACTTGGAAACATAATAGGTAGTATTTTAACCACGTTATCTGATACTAGTGACATCACATATTCGTTATTCCAATAATACAATGCTCTCTCTGCAACCTACGTAAAATAAATAAATCAATAATTAGTAAAATGAATTTGCTAAAATGTGGAAAATTTAGTCAAACTTGCTAGCTATATTGGTAGTTATCACTACAAATAATAATTTTTTTTAATATTTATTTCAAATCCTTTATAAAAGGTATATAATAAAATGCCCAAACGGGCTATCACAATTACATTACAGAACGTTTTCGGATTGTTAAATCCATCATCAGTGTAAACGAGGTATACATGCTATGAGCCACCAAAATATATGGGTCAAAACCCTTTAAATGTTATAAATTTACAGTTGTTTTACATTATATATAGTTACAAATTAGGATGTTTAAGTTACCGTTGGAATTGGTAACATGGCGTTCCAACGGTAACTTAAACACTTAGCATCTACACGTCTCATACTTGTGATTCCGAGAGTCCATGTTGCCACTCCGTATGGCAATATGGAGTAAATGAATGTTTTTACAAATTGGTATCGGATATCCAACGATAAGATAAAGTTTATCAGGATTTTTTTCATTATTTGAAAAGCGAACCTAGCAACTTCGTAGTCAAGATCGTTTGTTATCCAGCAACCAAGATACTGGAATTTTTGTACAGGTTCTATCTGTTTGTTGTAATTAATGTCGGCATTTGGTGCACGTGTAACGGCCATTACTTTTGTTTTATGTGTTTATATTCAGTTCCCAAGCTATCTTAATCCCTGGTTACGGCATTCAAAAGTCGTTGCAAACCCTCAGCACTGTCCGCAATAATGACGGTGTCGTCTGCATATCTTAAGTTGTTTACATATTCTCCGTTAATTTTTATTCCTTCTTCAATATTTTCGAAGGCATTTTGGAAATCTTTTCGGAGTATATATACTAAGTGAAAAAGAAATCCGAACACCCAGTTTAAATGATTTTATTTCAATAAAATTTATTGTAATTTATTTATCTTACTGAAAAAACAAGTGATAAAGTTTTTAGCCTTATCAGTTGGAGATTCCGGTTTTTATACTTTTTGTTTTTAAATTCACTAACAATCTAAAAATGAATATTTCAGCCGCAGTAAAGATCCAAATTTGGCGGATTGTGGTTCTTGACATTCTTTACGATTGGTTACGATGCCTAGAGTACGGAGACCTGTACGATTTCGTCAACTTAGTGAGTTTGATAAGGGCCGTATAATGGAACTTCGGGAAGCTAGACTTTCTTTTCGGGAAGTTGCAGTTAGAGTGCAAAGAAGTGTAGACACCGTGGTTAGGTGTTGTCAGGCATGGCTTCAAGAAGGCCGTACGCAAAGAGCAAGGGGCACTGGACGCCGCCGTAGAACAACAGACCGTGAAGATCGCCGCCTAAGATTATTGGCCTTAAGAGACCGTTTCTCCACTACCAGCTCCATTGCAAATAAATGGTTTGCAGAACACGGAAGACCTATTGGCATGCGAAGTGTTTACCGATGAATGAGAAGTTTTGGCCTGTTTTCATACCGACCACACTGGGTCCTCCCTTTAACTCCAGAACAGCGCCGTAATTGCCTTCAGTGGTGCAGAGAACGGTCACTCTGGAATCAGGAATGGACGAGTATTGTCTTTAGTGACGAGTCTCGATTTTGTTTAGGCATGCACGATGGTCGAGCGAGGGTTAGAAGGCGACGTGGTGAAAGGAGGACTCCACAGTTTTTTGTTGAAGACATGTTCATCACACTGTTGGAGTTATGGTTTGGGGTGCTATAGCTTATGGTTCCAGGTCACCTTTAATCTTCATCAGAGGTAATATGAACGCGCAGCGTTATATCCAAGAAGTTCTAGAACCCCACCTTTTACCCTATCTTGACACCCTGGCAAATCCAACTTTCCAACAAGATAATGCCTCACCACATATTGCAAGAGTCACAATAGACTTCTTTCAACATAATGATGTCACATTGTTAGCATGGCCACCAAGATCTCCCGACTTATCCCCAATTGAGTACGTGTGGGATATGATCGATAGGAGATTGTTCAATTTTGCAACGTCCTCCTCAGACTCTACAAGCACTTCGAGAAGAGTTGGTAATTGCCTGGAATGAGATACCACAAGAGGACATAGGTGCGTTGGAGAATGCGTAACACATCGGGGTGCATCCACACATTATTAAAGGTAAAAGGGCTTTAAAGCAATGCAATTATTTTGAAATTATAATCATTTACTTATTATGCTTCATTAAGTACTTATACAAAATTTTATTAAAATAAAATCATTTAAACTGGGTGTTCGTATTTCTATGTCACTTAGTATATTAAACAATAGTGGAGAATTTTGATTGACATTTCTGCAGTCATACGATTGTCTATTTTAATCGACGCCATTTGATCCCAGTGTATGATTTTAATAAGGGCCAACATATTATGGTCAATACCATGTTGTGTTAGGGTTTCTATGAGTTCTGTATGTTTTACTCGATCAAACGCTTTTTCGCAGTCGATAAAACAGAGAAACACGTATTTTCGTTTATCTCTGCATATTTGAAGTACTATCTGGAGGTCAAATAATGTCTCCCTCGTACCAAACCTTATACGAAATCAAAATTGATTGTCGCTCAGATTTCTTTCGCATTCTCTGTATATACCTTGATGTACAATTTTAAGTAAAATTTTCGGAAAATGGCTCACCAGGCTAATTAATCTGAACTGTGAGCATTATTTGCTTTATTTTTCTTGGGTATAGGTATAAATGTCGATCTAAGCCAGTCTTCTGGGAAGATTCCAGTGGTATATATTTTGTTAAATAGTAGTGTTAAGGACTGAAGATTTTCTTCATTGATAAGTTTTATCATCTCTACATATATCTCATCTGGACCTGAGGCCTTTCGTGGCTTTGCGTATTGATTGACAGATACCTTGACAGATATTTCCTTTTTCAATTTTCAAACTAGATTGTAGCGACAAGTTAATTACGAATAATTAAACTTTTGTATTCAAATATTAAATAAAACAATCTCATATTAAAATTTACATTTTCGCATTTGGTTTTACACATAAGAAATAGAAATGTGTTCCTCAATATATTTATTTAATTACTACAGATATTAGATATGCTCGACACTTTAATTATACATTTTTGAGTGCGTTGCATTTTTATGGGGAACGAAATATAATATAGCGACCAGCCCTATAATAAAAGTTTATGACTTATAAAATCAAAGAACGCGTGTTTTGATTTAGTTTGAGGTTTTCAGTAATCTTTAACTTTTATCCTCTTTTACCCGCTTGCGTAGGTCCGCGATACATATACAAAAAATACCGTCCATTCGAGAATTAATTACGTTTTACAAATTATATATTAACAACTTTTCTACGATTTCCGTACTAAAAAAGTTTATCACACACGCATCCACACTACTAGGGAACAAGATCCTTATATCTTGGCACGTTTTTGATTTTTACCAAGCATCTTCTTTCCATCATATTCATGTAGAATTTAGTTTGTTATTTTTCTACTTCTGAGGACGCATTTGCCTATGGTTTGATCTGCTGCATTCATAAACGTGTTTTTGAATGTATCCCACATATATTCGACGTTTTCCTTTAACTTAATTTAGAACTAATGATACAGCCATAGTGGCAGATAACATCGAAGATCTTCAATGCCTTTTAAATGATCTAACTCTTGCAAGTGAAGCTCGGGGTTTGAAAATAAATATCAAGAAGACAAAATCAATGATTATAAGTAGAAATGATTACCCCAACGCAAAGATATATGTCTCTGGAGAAGAAATCGAACAAGTCAGGCAATTCAAATACTTGGGATGTTTGCTGAATGAGGGTTGGGACCCCGAGAATGAAATAAAGAGCAGAGTTGAACAAGCCAGAAATGCTTTTTTGAGGCTTCGTAAGTTTCTGACTGATCGCAAATTGGACTTCAACCTCCGATACAAGATGCTTAAGTGTTACGTGTGGCCTGTTCTCCTGTACGGAATGGAAGCATGGACGTTAAAGGCCAGTTCCATTAACAAACTTGAAATGTTTGAAATGTGGTGCCTGCGTCGAATGCTCAGAATATCATGGACGGACAGGGTCAGAAATGAGGAAGTACTCAGAAGAGCGGGCTTACAGGATAGGGAACTTTTTAATTATGTAAAAAGTAAGAAGACTGCATACTTGGGGCACATAATACGAGGAGAACGATACACTTTTCAGCAACTGATACTCGAAGGGAAGATAGAGGGTAGGAGAGGTCTCGGACGTAAAAAAATGTCATGGCTGCGCAATATTCGACAATGGACAGGAATCCACAGCTATGAAATGCTTCGCAATGCTGCTAAAAACAGAATTATTTAATCCAGAATATTTAACATCTCACCTGACAAGACGATGTACGGTGGACGCCTACGCAGAAATGCACGGCACCTTAAGAAGAAGAATAACTAATTTTTTTATAAAAAGGTTCTGAAACTGTTTTCTTGTGGCATGTCCAAGTTAAACATTATGTTTATATGGGATTAAGTCAAAATTGATTGTAATGAATATTACATTTTATAATTTTTAATTGACGTTTCGATTTCTACTCAGGAAATAATTTTCAAAAAAGATTATTTTAAAATAGTGAGCTGTTAGTATAACTAAGTTGTTTCGACGGTAATTGTTTTCCAAATTTACTTGGCCTCGATCTTGCAGGCATGATTTAGTTGATAATTCTAAGCGTGACGTTAGTACACCCTCAGGATGATATCGAATTCTGATTGTTTTGTGCAATTGTGTATTATGTGTATTGTGTGTTGTAACTATTTAATGTATAAAGGAACGTCCATAAACAGCGTTGTAGAGAAGTGGGAAGGGGACTTTGTTTATTACGATGGTGTACGACTGGCATGAGGGCACATCCGTCGTAGTTTCTGGTGTATTTCAATTTGTAGCTGTTGAATCTATAAATAATTTTTTACTAGCTTCTACCAGACGGCAGCATTATTCAAAGTATCATATAAATTATTTTTAAGTGAATTATTAATCCCAGTATACGGGAAATGAGTTACTTATT